ATCTTCATGGCTCCTGCCCCGTTCTTTTTCCGCCAACTCTGCAATCCGAGCGCACAGAGCCTACCGCTGCTGGGGGTGTGCAGGTAGCCCCTCAGCAGGAGGAGTCGCTAGGTCCGACTCCTCAGGTAGGCTCTAAGGCGGGCCCAGTAGTTCTTTTTGAGGATACTGCTTTCCGGAATGCTCTGCGGAACGGCTGGAAGACTGTGCTGCACAATGTAAAATTCCGAGAGGTCTTAGGCACGCATTGTGTCTTCTGTGGTCAGTGGGCAGCTGCAAGTGGCATGAAGCAACACATCTGGCTTGCACATTCGCATATTCATGACTTGCACCAGCGAGCAGCCTCCAGATGCACTTCCCTTGGATTGGCTGCAGAGACTCCCTGTAAATACTGCCGTACTCCCCACAAGCAGCCGCGGCGGCACCTGACCTGCTGCTCAGCTGTTTACCAAGCATCCCTTGCACATCTCTGTCTTGAGTCCTCCATACCGGAGTGCACCCCTACATCTGAGGCGCACCATGGACGTGGACGAGGGCCAGAGGGCAGCGATTGCTGGCAGAGGCGAGGGAGATCTTTGGCGGGGGAGCTCCGTCAGAGGCGAATCCAGCCGGAGCTGCGGTGCCGGCAACAACAGCAGAGCCGGAGGGGAATCAGGCGAAGGATTGGAAGAATTGGGGACAGGACCAAGACAGTCGAGACCCCAAGTATCCACGGAAGGAGCACAAGGGAGGCTGGGGAGGAAAGGGATCCTGGCCTTCCTGGGGCTAGGCAAAGAGAAAGGACCCCTCGGGAGAGAAGGAGGAAGCTCCCCCGCTGGATCCGGCGACCCAGTATCTCATCCAGGCTATGACGAAGCTCACTTTGAGACACGAAAGCGAGCTGTCGCTCCTGAGACAGGAGACATCCTGTTCATCGACACGGCCCCCTACTCGCGTCTGGACTCCCTCAAGCTGGCTGCCACCAAGTGGCAGGAACTCTACGTGGCCAACAAAGTGACCTGCTCCCTTCGCCTGGCACTCATGTTGAGATTGATTCAGACGCTCCGGGCAAAGTTGGAAGAGCTCCTTCGCGACGACGCTCTTCTCCAACGCTACAAGAACTGTGGATGGATCAGCGACGGAGCCAATGCCTTCACGCCGATGTGGCATTACTTCGAATGGAATCCCAAAGAGAAGAGGGAATTCCAGGCCTCGACGCCACCCCTCTCCCACTCGATCATCATGGCGACCCTGGACGAGATGGAACAGGCCCTACCGGAGTACGGCGTCCTCCTCAAGTTCAAGTCGACCAAGCCCATCACGGACGACATTCCGCAGGATGTTCTACCGTTTCTGATAACGGTGGGACTCAGGAGCGAGAATGCTCACAAAGTCTTCCAAGGACTTCGCCACCTTTCGGGCAATGCTGTGATGAAAGTCTTGGGCGGACGTCTTCGCCCCGAACGGGGACAGCGACAGCCGCTGGCCAAACAGGTCGGGGATGCCTACAAGGGGACCAGCTACTGCGAGTGGAACCGCTCGCAGACGTGGGAGAAGAAGTAGCTAGCCCAGGTCGGCTAGCTACTGTCGCACTTAGGGAAGTGCGACGATGGCTGAGCCCTGCTCTCAGTCTGCCGCAAGCGCGACTCCGCAATCCAAACAATGCCTGCTACCTGAGTCATGAGCGCTCAGCCGCATGCTGCCTACGGCTCTTCCAAGGTGGGTATGCCACTGATTGGTAATAAAGGTAGTCCCTACTTGCCCTTTTGTGTGCACGTGGCGAAATATTACACATCAGCATGATGCAGGTCAGTTCCTGCAACATGTTTTTGCAGCTTGCCAGGCCGCAAGCCTACCACGGCACGTGGGAGTCTAGGCTTCCTAATCCCCACACTATTGCAGACTCAGGTTATCTTTCCGCGCCTGTGCGACTCCACTTGGGAGGCCCAACTTTGCAGTCGCTGATCGCCATGTGGCATCAACAATATGCTGTGCATGCAATCTCTCAGCATAGTGGGCTAATCATGCTTCAGCTGTGTCGCTATGGCAGCTCTGGAACCAAAGACTGCAGCATACTTCCCATTGCGCCAGGTGAAAGGCTCCGCCTGCCAGTTTTTGTGAGTGCCGAGGGCACGCGCGTTAGCGAGGAGACCTTCTGTGTTATTTGGGTTGTATTTCACTTAGGGGAAACCACCAGTAGCGGGCACTACCAAGCCGCCCTTAGCGTCCCTACTACCCCCACCACCCCAGGTGAACATGCTGTTTGGGATTACTATATCTGTAATGATGGTAAAACCCCGCGTAAGGCCCGTAAGACCGACCACTCAGTCATAGATGCCAATGCCTATCTGGTTGGTCTTCTTCGCTGCGACTAATAGCTGCTCGGCGCTGGCATACGTGCCACGCTGAGCCTGAAGGCAGATGGATCTTTCAATCTGAGTCACTGCCTTTTGCACAGATGCCGAAGCGTTACTCTGTGCCTGTTCCAGTGTCTAGAAACAGAGCTTCCGAATGGTTTCCTTCTGCATTCTCGGATGATGAGGGTGCAAGCCTTGTCAGTGAGTGCAGCGACCCGGTAGTGCCATGTGCAATGTGTGCCCGCTCGTAGCGTGGCTCAGCTGGACAGACAGGTTGTCCCCTCATTCATTCTGCCATCCGATTGTTGCCACTGCCTCAGTCAAGCTGTTCTAGCTTAAGCTCCCCAATGCACCTAGTAAGTAGTAAGTTTAGTCCCACCTGGCCCACCTCACGAGTCGTCTTCCCCCAAAGGGGGATGCTGCACCATGGTTGCTGAATGCCCATGCCCGGGCGATGTCTATGTTCACTCCCTGGAGTGCTATCTGCTGCTCTCTTGCCTTGCTTCTTTGCTGCGTAACAGCACTGGGCGGGTATTGCCGCCCGCGTACAGCATGCTATCGCGCAATGATATCATACAAGCTGCAAGAGACTGGCTGCCTGATCTGGAGTGCTATGATTGCTTCTTGCAGTACTCCATGGTTCTCAGCGCGGCGTTGCCTCCATATGCCTCGCCCGCAACACCAGCGCCGATACCATGCGCAGCGCAGCATGTTGGATCAGCTGAAACGATTGCACAGCAAATCTTGCATCAAGGCAGCTGCTCCTTGTGGGAGGCGGTACGACAGGTTGCTTGCGAGCTTCCTTTTGAGCTGCCTAGACATCGGAGTGTTACCTCATCCAGGGCTCGCAGTTTCACGATTGGTATTTATGGGCGACAACAGCTGGTTGGAATCTGTAAGGAGACCCTCCCATTCAGCAATGTTTGTCGTTTATTAAACTCCTTCGTTTTGCATCTTTGTTCGGGTTTAACATGGACCACAATTGCCATACATTTGGACTATGATTCTCCTGTGCATCTGGATGTAGCTAATGGACCAGAGCCGAACTTGGTTGTACTGCTCAGCACCACCGAACAGGGAGGCCTGTGGATACAAGACGAAGGGGGTTCGCACTACATGGAAGATGGTGACAAAATTTTGCGAGGCCGAATTTATAGTTTGCAAGATCAATATCTTGTTTTTCCGGCGCACCAAAGACGACATGCAACACAAGCCTGGGGACACTACAATCGTTTCACGCTGGTGGCGTACACTGTTCGCAATTGGAGGCAGCTCGCGGAACCTATGCAGCGCACCCTGCACAACTTGGGATTCATGCTGCCAGCTCGGCCCGAGATGGCAGCTGCAACTCTGCAATTGCTGTCCCCAACTGCTATGTGAACACTGGCGAGATATGTGCTGAATTGAACTCTCTCAGACTATTCGCACACGCGTTATGTATTTGTACAGTGGGAGAGTTCTGGGTACAGATCAGTGCATGAGGTTTCATTTTCATTCATCCTTTTTCTTACATCTGTCTGCCCATTTGCTGACTTAGGCCCTAGCGATGGCAGCGACGGTGAGCTCGTCCTCCACAGGTCTGGAGGCGGGCGATGGTGGTGGTGGCAATGGCGAACCATCCCTAGGTCGGGATGGTCGGACCATTGCGTACAAAACCTGTATGGAGCCGGGATGCCGCCGTCAGTTTGTGAAAAGCCGACACAGACATTGCTGCTCACTTTGTACGCGCGATGCTCATACATCGAAGTGTGACAAGCTGCAAAAGGCTCTGCAGCGAGGCAAGGTCAGCACCTGTGCTACGCATGGATGCTGGCGCTGGGCAAGTCATGGCTATCTTTACTGCTGTTCGGATTGCAAGCATGGGCACGGTCGTTTCCACAGCCATGCCCATGCTTCGATAGGCAGAAATGGGCTGTGGCAGTACTCGCTACATCAGCAGCCAATGCAAATGCCACTGCAGCACCTTCGAATGAGCCAGCTCCATCCGATTCTACTTTGAGGGAGACTGAACAGGCTGAACAGCAGACGAGTCAAGCTGATCGAAAGTCTTTGTCGTCCAAGGATGTTGAGGTTATCGATCTGGAAGCTATGGACTAGACAGTAGAGTAGTGTTTTTCGAAAGGATCCACGTAATCAACATGGAGCTGCCGCAGAGCGGCCGGATCAACGATCTGTCCTGCCCATCGTCAAGCACAGGCATTCCGTGCGACGCTGCTGAATGAATACTACTACTACTACTACTACTACTGCCACCACCACGACCACGAATGTGGCGGGAGTGTAATTCGTATTGCGAATATACTGGATGATTACCAGCCAACTCCCAACGGATGAGTATTTCCAAATTTGAAAGGAGACTGGCTCCATTGTTTGTGGGTTACTTGCGGCAAAGCTGGTGCAACAACAACAGTGCGTGTTATGACGTATAGGCAGAGCCTGCAGAAGACTCGGAGCATAACCCTGTCCAGAATGGGAGTCCTGGGGATTCTGCTCCACGACATGCGGAGTGGGGCAGCGCACGCGCAGTTGTGAACTCAGTTTTCAATCGCAGGTTCCTCGGTTCCTCTTGTGCTGGTCATGGATGTATTCAATCAAGACTGCTGGATGAGCGTGGCTACGATGCTATCTCTGTGTGTGTGTGTGTGTGGGTGTCTCTTCTGTTGCGAGGCCGACAGATTGTTGGCTTGCGTGGTGTTGATGGACATGGCTGTTACGAAGCACTCGGAGAGGTTCAGGTGGCATATCCGCGGTCATGGAGTCAGAGCTTTTTGCGGAAGCCGGGCCGCGGCCAGGCCTGCTCCAGCCAGGTGGAATGTGCTGAGAGGGACTGTGCCGCAAGCTCAGCCTGGGCAGCCTGGGCGCATCTGGGCGCTGGTCGCGCACGCGATGCAGCGCCAGGTATGGGGTGAATGGGCTGCCTGGAGCTACTGCTCGCGTTCCTGCGCCAGGATCTCAGAGGTGAGCGCGATGATGGGAAACTGAGAGTGAACTGCTGAGGATGGTGGCATTCGGTCTCGAAAGCGGCACATCCTCAAAGCCCAGGCCTTACTACACATGTGATACAGGAAAGCTCTTGGTTTGCACCAGTGCTTTCAAACTGTGCGAAGCATAGCGGCTCAGCGATGGAGTTGGTGCCCACTTGTTTCTGTGCTCCAATCCAAGTGCTGTGTATGTGGCAAGAGAAGTGCACTCTCGGGCAGAGTCAAGTTTGGCGATCCTTCGCTTCTGCGAGGTCCTCCAGGTCTCTGTTTGATTTCATTGTTTTATCTCAGAGTTTCTCACCTGTTCAGAAGCTTTAAAGCAAGCGACTCTGCGAGCATGCCGACGATGCTCAAGCGACCGCCTTGCGACAGAATTGGGCATCCCGGACGACGCAAACCAGCACGACAAAGGCTTAATTAGGCTTTTCGCACGAAGACTGCGATCATTGATCTCTTAAACATGTTTCCACTCCTACCTCGTTCTGCTATGCCCATGGGTTCAGCAAGAATTGGACGAATAAAGTCTTAGACTCACAGATACTTTCGGGCATTTTGCTTCTTCTGCTTCCATAGTGCACTTGCTTGCACAGGGTGCACTTGCACTTGATTTGCGGGCGCTATTGCCGAGCGTGTTGCCCAGTGCTCAGCAGATTCCCGAGCGGCCCGAGCCTCCTTCAGCTCCCAATGTGGTCACTGAAATGCTCGCCTTCGGCGAGCCAGCATGAAGTGTTTGGATTTCCACAGCTGAGAATCAGAAACCTTTTTTTTGCTCCTGGGAAGCTTTATGCATGGACTTCCTAAACCGCGGCACAGAGCAAAAAGAACAAACTTTCCTCTGACAACAGCAATATTTTTCTCGCTCGTCCTGAACTCCACATGGAATCCAAATGCGCATGTTTTGGCCCGAAGGAAAAACAACCTCCTCCGGACCCCACCCGGGAACACCCTCTCCAGCCCTTAATCTTTAAGTGTGCCTGACATGTTGCCGACTTCGGTCCACCTCGGCAGGCCTGGCCGATGGACAGCAGAGAGAGCAGCCCAATGCAAGTTAGTGAAAACGTAACTCCCAGGAGTTCCAACATCGAACCAGCTAGAGTCAGCTAGAGATCTGAATTCTTCAGCATAGTGATTGAAGAACGGGACACGTAAATACATCTGGACAGTTCGGTCAACACCTGGGACAGACCGTAATAAGATCTCGTCGTTTTTTGCAGCGCAGTGTCCTTGCAGCTCAGGTTCCTTCGAAACACGGAAGGCAGGCTGTAGTTGCTGAAAGGTCTTTTGCGTTGTCGTGCTCTTTCAGCTTTTCCAAGGCAATGTGATGCTGAAATCAAAGAGACCATCGAGCCCTGCAACACCCACACGTCGCCTACTCTGTCGATAGTGTCCTGCAGCTCAAGACGTTGCAATTTTCTGAGGTGCAGTGCGCCAGACTGCACAGATGGATACTGGAGCCACTGGTCAGCCTGTGCCTGAACTTGGGTGTACTGCTTGGCTGAGTGAGACGCATTGCAGACTTTCATTGCGAAAGATGTGGTCACCAGAGTGCGCTCTGCAGCATATTGCTTCGGAATCTTCCGGAGGCCTTCAGCTTGATAGGCCACAAAACGACTGGTAGTCAGAGACCAGGGAGGGAAGGATTCGTAAATGAAGCAGTGTGTGGCGTGATAGGATTCTCACATATTCTCGCCCCCAAACCTCGTGACAAGGACTGGTCGCCATGTTCCGTCTCCTGTGACAGAGGAACAACTTTCCGAACGTGCGATCCTGATTGTGGAATGCCAAAAGACCTCCGAACGTAGTGCGTGGTCCCTATGACGTGAGGCGACAAGTGGCCAAATCTGCAAGTGAATGCGGCACCAGCCTCAGGCAGGTCTTCGGGCGTGTGGAAAGACAGTCTGTCTGCCAGAGGCGACTTCCCAGCGGGCTTGAGCACCGAAACACGAATCTGTGAAGTTTCTACCGCTTGCGTCGCGCCCTCGAACCTTGCTCCACATCTGGAATGAGTGCAAGTGTGCGCAGTTTGTGAGGTTCCGAACCGTGACTGCGTTTTTGGACAGTCGCTTGGATCAGTCTTTAGTGCAAGGTGTATAGTGCTGCAATTACCCGCTCTCTCTGTCCGCAAGCGACGCAGCCAGCAGCATCCGCAGCCCCGCTTGGAGCTGAGATGGAGCGCCTGGGGTCCTTGCAGCGATCACTGCGATGGCCCTGAGCTTGGACAAAAGACAACAGCAGTTACATGTACTGCTTTCTGACATGGAGCACCTGCGCACCCCGTCTTTTCAGCCAGGAAGGGTTTGACACTCCGAATCCCAGTGCAATTCCATGAATTCATGCAGCTGTTTGCGATGCCAATGCACTGTCCAGTCATGTATTTATGCTGCCAAGCTGTCTAGATTCGGTTTCAAAAGCTTTCAGTGCTTTCACGCCCGAACAGCTTCTGGAAGTGAAGGTATGCAAGAACGAGCTCGGTCCGCACGGCGCTTAGTCTGTTGCGCTGGATAGTGGAATGTTTAAGGCTGCTGATTATCGGAGACAAACGAGGTGAAACACTTTGGTTTGGGACATGGCAGTTGGTGCACCGGTGCAACGAAAGAGAGTCGAACTCAGTGTCAGGACAGTTGACGAGCGGGAGTCCGCAAGGGCTGGACATCTGAAGGTTTTTGCAGTGTTTTTGCTGATTCAGGCTGCGTCCGTGCAATCCCAAGTTTGGCCACCATCCGCCACCCGTCCACGGGCATGTTTTGACGTGTCGACATATGCGTGCATAACAGGTTCGCATCCGATTCTATTGAAAGAATGCCATGCAGGGCTGTCGAAAGGATCATCCTGTTGATTGCGTCGTTGGCCAGCATTGCTCCAAGTCTTCGTGCCATCGCATGAAACAGTTGTAAAGAGGAAAGTGTGGAATTGACCAAGGTGGGCGCACTGGAGCAGGCGACACTTCTCGAGTCATGCAACGCAGCAGGCCCTCACGTGCACTTCAGGTGCACGGCAGTTTGTGATGGAGGCGTGCAGAGGCGCACTCGCGTGGTTGTGCAACGTCGCGCCCTCGGATGCCCTCGGGTCTGGCAGAAGGCGCAGAGGCAGAAGATGGCAGAAGCCTCAGACACGGGCCCGGACAGGCGCATCTCACGGAGGGCGTGGGTGCTTGGCGGCCCTCTCGGAAGTCCACGAGTGCGTGGCCACCCCAATAAATCCAACTAAGCCCTCAGCCTTCTCAGTGTTGTGCAGTCGTGCTGAGAATCGCCACCTCTGCAGCGGTGGAAACTTGCCTGTCGATTGTGAAGTTGGGCAATGGCAAGAGTGGGGCTTGTGCGACGAGCTTAGAGCACATCTGCATGGTTGTGCATGAAACCATTAAACAATGCAGCAGGGTTTGCTTGAGGTAGCAAATGTGATGGAGAAAGATCTCGCTTTCGGACAATCCTGCGTCGCACCCTCAAGTCGACATCTGTGCTGGCTTTCCAGAACGTAAGTTGGTGTCCTGAATTTACACGACCATATTGCTGGAGCAACCGTCTGGATGTCACTGGGCTTGGAAATCCGGTGGCACTGGTCACGCTCGAACCAGGCCGACTTTCGACGCTGGGCGAAACACCCGGCCGACCCTTGAGAACGCAGAGAGTGCGGCTCAGGTAGAATAGTGAACAGGGCCGAACAGGGCATGAAACTCGACGACGGCTACTGCTCACCATGAGAAGAAGAGACGCCAACATGGTAGCTACGAGGAGGGAAGTGGTCCGCGATGCTGGGAATGTCTTCTGCTGAACGCGACAGCGGCAGGCAGATTGAGCAGCAGCGTCAGATGCGAATTGGCCTGGATGGGTTTGGCCGTGAGATCAAGTAAGATGAGACACGCTGAGCGGCGGAGAGTAAGCGAAGCACATGATAGCTGTAGACACGTGCTAGGAATCTCAAGGCTGACAATGCATTGGATGTCAGACTCAGGGGAAAGGAAATCGGGGGTGGAGACCTGAGGCACAAGAAAAGGGGGGGGGGCATGAGATGCTTGCTGAAGTCACTGACTATGTTTAGGGCATCATCGCCGGCTGCTACTTCACAAGCAAACGATTGGAGACAGCCGACGCCACTTTGGACCACTGGCAGGATATGCTTCCAATGGGGGCAGGCCGTGTGACCACATGGCTGTTCGCGAGGCTCAGCTCGGTTGAACAAGTCTTTACAAGACGTTGCAAAGCTGTAAGAGGTGGGCAAATGTCCCAGGTCCTGCAGCAGCTGCTTGGCGGTGATTGGCTGTGTCTTGACATAGTGGCGCGTTGCCCACGACGCTCAGGCAACTTGTACTGCACGTGGGCAGGCTGGCAGGACGATGCAACTTAGACCAAAGCGTTAAAGGGTTCGTTTAACTGTTCGGCACTGACTCTTCGGCACTGACGGACTGGCTCCACTTTGCTTTCAAAACGGTTTCATTGGCTGCGACTTCCACGTGCTGTGGTGCCTCGCCACAGGACTGGGGCGACTGCAGCAAAACATGTGGAAGAGGTGGGTGCGTCAGTCCATGTTGCTCTAGAGTAGTTAGAACCGTCGGAACGATGCTGAGTCTGCTTGCGGGTTTGAGGAGGCAAGCGGCGCCGCCGCAGATACTTGCATCTGTCGCATGACGCTGGCGCAGAGCTCTTGCATTGGTCTTGGTCAACGACAGCGAAAGCAAACACAGGGCGGTGTTTGACATCCTCCCAAGGCCTGGAGGTCCGGGTGCCCCTGGCCAAGGCGCTTTAGACGAAGAATCTGCAAGAAACTCAACTAGAGCCGAAGTCGAACGAGCACGCCGTGAGGTGGAATCCCACCAGGACCTGGGGTGTCGAATGGAGGATATCCGACTCTTCAGGACCCATCCGCTGGATTCGCACAGCCGATTCTGAGCAGCTTGGGCCCTTTCTCCGAGGCTTCGCATATGGCTCTGCGTGGAAGACCTGAGTTCCGAGTGCAGGAGCAGCTAGAACCTACGACCACGAGACAAGCCGCCCCCGCCTTCGTGACCGTGCCGCCCATGGTGCACCCGAAGGCAAGGATAGAAAGCAGCTCCGGTCGAGTTGGCAAAGTAGAGTTGTATGCTTGTTTCAAGGAAGGCTCAGGCAAAGTGGCCAACAGGAAGCTATATCTTTGAGTGTTGATCGGCGCTCATTCTCCCTCCCTGTATCTGCGTGCGGCATGAAGTTAAAGGCAGTCACTAGTTTTTTCGCTCTTGTTGTCAAGACAGCTTACTGGTGAAATGCAGGAAATGCAATGCTGCAAGGTGGAGTCTGTGGAGATGCAATCAGCTGTTATGCTGCTAGTTCGCAGGTCTCCCCGCTGGCGCCAGTGCCAGCTTTGCCTGGCTTGACGGTCCATGCGGTCCATTGCTTACACGCTGCGTCAGTGTCGTCCGTGGTAGGGAGCTTTGCTTCTGCCATTGCACAATGATCAGATCTCCGGGGAATATGAAGTCATGGTCCAGAGATCGCAGGACGTGGCAAGCGTATATTGCTGCCAAAATGAATGCGAGCGGCAATGAGTCTGCTGTGCGGATCCGTGTGGCGCATCAGGAGCTGGAATCGACTCACATGAAGGATCTTCTGCTCTCTTTCGTTGGTGGCTTTATGAGCCGGGGCCTTGAAGCAGCAAGGAGTCGTCACAGTCGTCTTCAATTCGAGGCATTAGCTTCCTGATAGCCGCGTCCGGAATGGCCAAGTCCTAAGTTGCACGCCGCCTCCGGCCGCCTGGGGTCCTGTGCAGTGCTCGCGCTTTTCCAGGCCCGACCCCGGCCGAGGCGGTGCAGCCCTCGGCCGAACCAGTTTCGACTCGACACTGGAGTGGTCAGCTATGACAGATCCTCTTGAACCAGTATTTAGAGTCGGACACATCACAGGAGTGCTTGCTACTGTAGTTTGTGTGAATCGTTCATTGGGTCCAGAGAGAGGAACTAGGTCTAGGTTTTGTTTGACCACATGCACATCTTTAAACAGCCCTTGCGCAATTCAATACTTAAGCACCCGGGTGACTAATCAGGCGATGCGTGCAAACGAGGCGGCACCCAAATCCTTGAACATAATCGTGGGGGAAGACGTCAGGTGAAGCCCCACAAGTCTTTGCAGCCAAGTCAAAGCTTTCTTTGACTCCGGCAGAAAATGTCTACTGCTGACGTCAGCGTGGCCATGTGAGCTCCTGTTTGGAGGGCCAGCGGTTTTGCTTTCAAAGTCGGGTCAGGGCTTGGGGGCCGGCTGCATCGTCTCTATGTGATTAATGCTGGCAGGGCCAACTGCTGAAAAACTCAGCTAGTGGGCTTCGTGAGCATGAGAGAAGACTGTGAGGGCATACAAGTAGCACACACACACACACACTGGCCGAAACGACGATCATGTGCCATGAGCATGTTTACAGTAAAGGTCGCATGTCGTAAACGTCGCGCTCCCGTGCTGTTGCCACCCAGCAGTGCTCGGCAGAGCTTTATTTTGAAGGCCGTACTTCTACACAGTGTGTTGCCTGCAGATAGGGCATTATGAGACGTGTCAAGGAGGGCAAGACCATGAGGCAGTTTCATGTGTTCAGCAATGCTCTCAGCTGCAGGCCGGTCAGTGACGGGGCGATGTCTGCTTAGATTCTACACTCATGACGGGAATTGTGATCTATTGAGAGCTGACAGCACTGCGATAGTGATTCTTGCGAGATTCGACACTCTGACCCAGTTTCACCCAGAGAGCTAGCTTCTGGACTAAGTCGAAAGCTTTGAAAAAGTGCATCGGGCTGAAGCAGATCAACATAAGGATTGCCCGGGCTTGGAAAGCTTAGACCGGCCATTGGGAATCTTTTGTGATCTGAATTGGCGTAGTTGCCCCCAGCCAAAGTGCGCGCAAGGCGCCAATGACGCGACCTGTGCAGTGAGGCAAAGCCAGCGTCAGCTCTAAGCTGCCGTGGGCAGAAAATCCGGAAGAGACGGTGGGGCCGGTTTGTGCTCGCTTCACCATGCAGCTTGGTAGACTGCAAGCCAGTTTTGCCGCTGCCGTTTGCGAGTTCGCAGCACCCAGCCGTCATGCTAGGAGGCTCGATTCATCATGTCAATGCATGCCCGGTGCTCAGCAGCGAGAGTCCAAGGCCCTTCCAAAGCACGGAGTATCGATCAGCCAAAGCCTGTAGCCCTGTAGCGATGTTGCAGCGCCCCTCAGTGTTGTTTCTTTGCGTTTTCTTGGAGAGTTTGTTGGAGCAGACGACGCTGTTGCGCTTTTGCAGACTCTTCGCCCGGGTCCATCACGATCAATCATGATCTCGCTGACATGTACAGAGTCAATTTGGCTCGATGTGGCCGGTTCATGTGGTTGACTTGAAAGTCGTATATGCCAATAGGATCGGAAGGAATGGCGGTTCCGGGTGAGAAGTGGAGATGGTGTGGTAGCACACATGTGTGAGTGGGTGCAAGCAGCAGTCGACTGCCGAAGCATTCGACATATCCGGCTCGACAGCCCAAAAATCTACTTCCTGCTTTGGTTTCGCTTCTCCGGCGCCGCTTCGACAGCCAGCTTCGCCGCTGACTTCGCGGCGGCTGGGCTCGTCGCCAGAGCCTGCGCTGGCAGCCCAGAGCCCATGCATGCTCGGGGTCATTGACGCATATTGACGCTGCCGACTTGAACCTCGCCCACTGGATATCGGGTTCGACTCCTCGTCGCGTCCTTCTTCCTCCCTGATGGCAGCCCTTGTACCTGGCGGTTCTGGCCTTCGTAATGCCCAATCGGGCAGACGACCGGCGGTGCACTTTTTTGTTGTGCAAGACAAGGTGTCTGCAGCCTCTTTGTCGTCCTTCCCGCCGCCGCTGAGGCTCGGGGCGAAGAATCGGGAGTTTGGCGCACACACAAGCGGGACTGCGATGGCCACCGGCTCACCGTCAGACCGTGCCCGTCGGGCCATCGTTCTTTTTCGGCCAGTGTTTCAAACTGCGCCCGACAACTAGCGTGACTTCAGTTCGCTGTGGAAAAGGTTGGAAGCCTGAGAGGGCGGGCCAGCGTTGAGTGTCAAAATCCATCGCTGGCTTCACCCAGACTCACCCAAAGCTTATGGATGCCCTGCCTGCGGCCAGTGACTCGGCATCTCCGGCGCTCCCTGAGAAGACTGGCGGCGGCGTGCATTTCGGGGAGGCCTTTGTTCACCCGTTTGCTCAAACAGAAGAACCGTGCTACCTGAAAGCGTGTCCGCGGCAGGCGATTGATCTACGGGACTGAAATGGCCGACCTGGTGCACCCCTAGCTGCGCCGCTGCGGCAGGAGTCCTTGACAGTAATGTCACGGCGGGTTGTACCCGCCTTCCACAACCACCGATTGGCCGGCTGGAGGTTATCGCCATCGTCCTTCATGGCCTTGTGCGGGGCATGCACCTGCCGTCCGGCCTGGAGCAATGCCGCCATCAAAGTGTTGTAATGTTTGTGCATCACGCTGCATGGGGCTGTAGGTTGCCGCAGAACCCAGAATGGCTGGTCTGTTGCGGTGGCCGCTTGTTCCTGCATCTTGTCTCTGCTTGTCCCCGTTGTCTGTGGTTTGGGTAACCGGGGTGCAGGAGAGGCTGTTTTGCCTTGGCCCCTGCATTGCCGGTTGTGTTTTTTTGTTGCAGGATACCTGCTTATCTATGCTTCCCCAAGTCTGGTGCCAGCTTTACTTTCCTGGTTCACTGAGGATTCTACACTTGCGTACAGCCACGAAGCTCAAGTCTTTTGAGTCCCATCCGGCTCAAGATCCGTGCGAATGGCAGTAGTGTAATGATGAAACGAACTAAACATCAACCAACCGCATCTGGGCATGCGGTGACATGCCGGATTAAGCCGCAACTCTGCAACGTACGAATGCAATACAGGAGTCGGTAATGTGACACAAGTTGACGGAACATCCCAACCCTCGTTGATTTCTGCACAGCCTAAATCACCTCGGTCGGCCATCCCGGCCCACAGCCTGGCCAAAGCATGCCAGGCTCGCCGTCCAAATCTTCTTTCGTTGTGATTTGAGTGATGTAGCCTGGTAGGCCGAATGCCGGCCATAAGCCTCCAGCCAGAGGCTCGTGCCCATGTTAGCTTCTGCCTGAGTACGTTGAGCTGGGCCAGATTGACTTTACAATAGTAAAAAAGTAGTGTGTCGCCGCCCCCGGCACATGGGGTGCCACTGATTACTGGCTTGCGGGCTTAAGCTTTGCATTCCTGTTAGCCGAAAACCACAGACAGGCTTGCATACTTCACGAGATGTATGCCCATATCTTGTCTACATTCATCCACCATCGCTGTTGCCACTGGCCTTTGGGAGCATTCTATAAGATCTATAATCTATAAGAAGGAGCACGTTGAAGCGGCCACCCAGACAAATCGAATCCCTACCCGAATGAAAAGGTTCGCTCGTCCCAAGAAATTTCATGGAAACAGCAGATTTGAATTTGCGCTGCATTGCGCACGGAGGAGCTGCTGGTTTGGAGACGCGAGAACTCTCAAGGGACCCTACTGGTTCACTCAGCCGCCTGGCCTTGCAGAGTTTTTCAATTGGCCTCCCAGGGCAAGTCGGGGATTCAGCAGTTTTTAACATGTGCTGGTGGCGACCCGTGTCAACACTGCAGGCGGCAGTCTTCACATCGTTCCAAAGTGTTCGTGTCTAAGCATGTTTTTCGTGTGTTGCTGCTCGCAGTTGTTACCTAGAAACCGCTGAGGCCGATGGGCACTGTGAGGAAGGTTTCAGATGCGTGTCTCGAATCTCGAAGTTTGGTCGCTGCCTCGCTGTCAGAGCACCCCCCGCCTCTGATTACGGCATGTTTCGAAAGGTACAGGACATTGGGGCCAAATAGATCCAGGAAAAGAGAAGATTGCATGGGCCTCGCGATTTGCTTTGCGTGAACCAGGTCCCGTGCCTTTGTGAAGCTGAGGCTGAGGAGGCAGACTCGGCTCCTGTTTACGAATGGGGCTGCCCCTTCCAGGGAGCCCAAGTCTCGGCGTGGCGTGTCATCCGTGGTGCCAGGGTGCATTCTTGCTTTAACAAGCAAGGAGTGGGCGGAAAACAGATATGAAAGCGGTCCTGGAGACGACCAGCCTTCTCCCCAGCCAATCGACATGCCAGCGGCAGAGAAGCATGTTCTCTTTACGATGGCAGGTGCACAGACGAAGGTGATTGCATTTGCATCGCCCGTGGTTCTCCAAACATGCCAGCAGACTGAGCTACACAAGATTTGAGATAGTCTGAGAAAGTGCATGCCAGCATTGACTTAACGTGAGGCATACGGAGCTCGAAGGTGGCCATGAGAAGGTCATCGGGCGGTTTGAAACAGAGTCCGGTAAAGCCAATCTGGGTCACGAGCCCCAGCTCATCAACGTGAGCTCCTGAGATCAGGGTGGCTCCAGCTGGTGGTCTCTCTAAGATTAGCGCTCCAGTTCTGTAGTCTGTTGTTTAGCAGAGTGCGACACAATCTTATTGAAGAGCCGCTGAGTCTCCACATCTACGTCTGCAGGGTCCAGTTGCACGACTTTGCGCGAAGATTTGCCTGGGGTGCTTGTCGGCTTAAAGTTTCATGTTGGGTTGAGGGAAGGCGATGTATTTGGAAACCCTTTGCCGATGCATCTTGCAGTTGCCCTTGCTTGTGGAATGGGCTGCTGGAACCACACAACGAAGTACGCGACAACAATGGCACATTCGAGTCCTTAGCTTTGCCAACCCTTCCTGCATTTAGCCAAAACCAGTCAAGCCTGCGCCCAGTAAATGACCAGACACCGCTGGTTTCTCACCAAAGGTCTGCGTTTTTTCAAACTCTTGCTCTTTTCTAGAGAAGTAGTGACATTGCACGACCCGAGGTTATCCCGCACTACTTCATGCGAACGAAGGATGGCGCGCCGTCCCGACCCCAGAGCGCACTCACAAGAGTGCTTTGAATTCCAAGCTTGTCAAGGTTTGACATCGAAAATCCACATTCCGGCCTCGGTGTCGTGAAAGAGTTCGATAGGGAGGAGTGGCTGCTCAAGTACAAGGACTCCCCGCAGCCTGTCCTGGTGTCAAGATGCGAGTGCAAAGTCCGAAAACAAGGAGGAAGCACCAAAGATTCAAGGTGCTCTTGACAAGCTTCGGGCGTGACACCCAGTTGCCTGCACGGTTCCTCTGGGCTGGATGTCCTGACTTCTGTAGGCAGCCGTCGATGCAGAGTACCGCAGCAAGGCCGGAGTTGCTGATTCGAGGGGCTACTGCAGGGTGGTAGGGATGCAGGAGGATCCGTGTTTCAGGTGCAGGATGGAGCACCCTTTGTCTGCGATGGCGCTCAACCTCCAGGAGAAGAGCCATCCCTGACGAAAGTCACGGCCCTGCTCTCTAGGCCCCTTCGGGCCTTTGCTTGAAGCCGCGTTTCTGAGGCTGAGACGCAGCTGGGGCTTATGCGGGTGCGCCGCTTCCAAGTCCTTGCTTCTGACTGCGTTGGAAGCCCCAGGGGCCCAGATGCTCGTGTGATCCCGCTCGCAAGTCACAAGCTGTAAGGTCAACATGCAGGACACAGCTGCAAAACTCGCTGGTAGACCAGAGGAGGCACGGGGCGGGCTGGCTAGCAGGCCACACCAGGGGTCCCAGGAGGGGTGGCAGTGGTGCCATCGACGATCGTAGCAAT